ATATATATATATACATGATATGTATTTGTTAGTGTTCTTACTCGATTTTTTTTTACCGCGCACAGGCGACATAATCATTAACACGCTATCAGTACTAGTTAATGTATTCTGACGTATTGTACATGATTCGTTCAGAGTTCAAGGAGTTCGTAATTACATAAATGACGATTGTAAAAAATGACAATGCAAACAGTCAACAAAAATAATCCGTTTCAGAATAATAATACACTACGTAAAACAAGAGTCGAAGAATATGTATATCGAATGTGAAAAATGCACACGCATAATTTTTTATTTCTGAACTGCAAATTCTATGAAAGTTAAAGATAGAATTATTTCTTCGTATTTATCATAATAAGACGTTAACAACAATTATTATACAAAATTTTAAGTTACTTTCAAAATGTCAAGAAAATAAAAAAGATAATGATTTGTAACGTAATCTTCACAATATTTTTGATTGAAAATTAATCTTTTTTTAGGTCGCAAAAGGAGATCTCCAAAATCATCCGCAGCCTCTGCGCTTGGTATGTATGTATTAGATATTTATGTCCAGAACAGCCCCGATGAGTCGCTCGCTTGCTCAGGAATTTAATAGCGATATGTAGATTTACCCGAGAAAACCCAGTAGTCGGTGTAATAATAACCTCCTTTCGAGACACGACGCACGAGGTGATGGCCCCAATAAGTAGATAGTTCGCACGACGTACGATGCTTTGTTGCACAGGGAAACAGGTCGGCGAATCCAGCGATGTTATCGAGCAGGAAACTACCTCTGAGCTAGAATCTACTTCTGAGCCAGAACCAAAATCCGAGCCTGAACCCAGCTCCGAGCCAGAGCCGAAATCCGAGCCTGAACCCAGCTCTGAGCCACAACCAAAATCCGAGCCTGAACCTAGCTCTGAACCGGAACCAAAATCCGAGCCTGAACCTAGCTCTGAACCGGAACCAAAATCCGAGCCTGAACCTAGCTCTGAACCGGAACCAAAATCCGAGCCTGAACCTAGCTCTGAACCGGAACCAAAATCCGAGCCTGAACCTAGCTCCGAACCTGAACCTAGCACCGAGCCGGAACCAAAATCCGAACCAGAACCTAGCTCCGAGCCGAAATCTGAACCAGAACCTATCTCTGAGCCAGAACCGAAATCTGAGCCGGAACCGAAATCCGAACCGGAGCCAAAATCCGAACCGGAGCCTAAATCCGAGCCGGAGCCAAAATCCGAACCGGAGCCAAAATCCGAGCCAGAACCTAGTTCTGAGCCAGAACCAAAATCCGAACCGGAGCCTAATTCTGTGCCGGAACCAAAGTCTGAACCAGAACCCAAATCTGAAACAGAACCCAGTTCGGAACCGGAACCAAGTGTGGGTCCAAAGTCGGGAGCAACGAAAGGTAACGAGGACCGATTTAACGCTTATTTCGCACATATCGCCATGCTACACTCTCATATCATTAACTCCTAAGCTATCAGAGATTTTTCGCTTTCTAACTTTTAGTTATTTAATTTTTGTTTTTGACATTGTAAAAGAAATACAGATGTTAATAATTCCGATACACACGTATATGTATATATCTACATAAGTACATTACGTTAATGAAAACAAATTCAATGATAAATATAAAATCTCTCGTAGTTATAGAACATATTTCAATGATAATCAGTAGGATGTATGTACATTGCTCATATTCTTTTCGATATTTCGCGACTTTCACAATGACCGTGTGGTAAAAGTTTGCACGAGGACTGGAACGTGAGGACTGCAACAGCAAATATTTATCGTGAAAGCGTTTTAGTGTGCTGATAAGACGTGAGAGTAATCTATTCTGTCCGCCACTTCCGCCACCGGATACCGAAGCTGGATGTAAAATGTTAATGCAACTATCCTAATTCCGCATAAATTCCTATTGACTTAATTTTACCAATTGCGTCTTTACACGCAGCAGCAAAAAGTAGACAATTGTATGCAGAGATAATGTCGATAACGCTTAACGCTTCACACGTTCTCATCGCTGTACACTGCTCACCATGAGAATTTTATATTTTCCTTGTAAATATCAATAACTTTCGAGTTGCAGCATGCATTACTTTGACACGAAATTTGCACGTGTCTCGATCTATCCGTCACGATTTTTCTTACGACACTGTAGGACACCATTTAACTCCTGCACTATCATAACATCGACTCATCTCATTCCAGACCAAGAATCAATATGTTGGGACTGAAATGCACCAACGAGAAAATAGAAGTTTTTAAAAAAACTTAAAGTGTGTACAAAAAATATTTTAATTGAAGATGAAAGTATAGTCTTTGCAAAAAATGAATTGAAAATGTATACTTTCAGTACAAAAACGAACGCTACGTATGTATATACATATGAAATAGTTCAATAAGATCAATATTTATGTTTAATAATTTTATAGTTTAAATGAAAACTTTTTCATTTTATCCTAATTTTTTTAAAAACATATCTATTTCTTATTGAAATAATTTTTTATTCAGACTCTAAATCACCGCCAAATACATTTTATATTACTTTTGAATACAATATTATTGTAAAAGATTTGTAATTCTTTTATAATTTCTTCATTTTGTTAAAAAATATTTGATAATACATTCTTAATAAGAAAGCTGTACGAATAATAGAGAAAATACAGTTTTAAATTCTCAAAAAATTTGAAAAATAAACCACAAAATGTATATATCTATAAAATCTTAATTTCTTTTTAGGCAAATACGAGTCATGAAGTTACAAAAAATTCGATTGTTGAAAAATATATCGGACGCATAATTCATAATTAGTTCACCGTTCAGTTTCATCATAGGCATTCTACATAATAATTTTACGGCGAATTTTCGCAATGTTCCGATCTTTGTATTAACTAAATTTATTCGCACACACGAAGCATCGTTGCCGGCGCCAGGACACAAGTACACGCCCAAGCACGACTTCAACCCCATGGACTGCACGGACATTATAATCGGCACGGCGCGAGGAACGAGTTACAGGATCGGCGATTATTACACGAGGGACAGATCGACGCCGCGCAAGGACGCGTATTGGGACGACAATGGGAGGGACAGCCTGACGGCCGCGTTTGGCTACGAACGGGACGGCGTCACGACGATACTCTTCCGCAGGAAGTTGGCCACAAACGAGCCGACCGATCACGAGATCCGCAATGGTAATATGCAGGTGATTTGGGCGAAAGGTCAAGAGCCGGGCAAATACATACATCAGCCGGCTAGCGGAATCGAAAAGGCCAAGGTCGGCGTTAAAGATTTCTACAAGGTGGACGAGCTCAAATATCACGGCCATGGAATGCAGAGAGGCGCGGTCACTATGAATTTCTTCGGTGAGGTCATCTGTTCAGCATCTGCCAGAGATTATTGATGCGTGTGACGTTTAAAATCATAGATTGTATTGTGAATGTTGATAAACTCAATACTTTTCAAAACTTTTCGCTTTTAAATATATATTTATTCAGTTTTTCTGAATCATTTATTAATCATTTTTATTATGCAGAAAAAATGTTTTATTAACTCTTATTAACTCTTCTTTATTTTTATATGATTTTTTTTATATGGTATGTCGATTAAATATTCGGATATAATATTTAATATTTTGAACGGTTCAGATGAAGTTAAAAGGCCGGAATTCGCTGGCGGTGTAGTGTCGCAAGATGGTATTTGCGGTGGCCAGTGGCGTTATCCGAGAAATTGTTCGCCAGAAAATAACACTTGTGAATATGCCATACAATGGATATACAAGGATAAAACGGTAATTTTTCTTATATTTCCTTGGTGTATCCTTTTATAAAAGATAAAATCGCTCTGATGAAACCGATATTATGGAAACTTTTTTTTGTAGGATCTGATAACATTCGTAATCTCTACGACAAACACCAATACATGGACCGGTGTTGGATTTTCTGATGACAATAACATGGTAAGACTTTGTCAAATAAAGAGATAAGACTTAGCTTTTTCTCTCGATAATTCATTTAACAAATTTATGTATACAAAAATTATTAAGTATATAGTATTTATTTATACAAACATTTCTTGTTAAATTCAAAGATAGAGCAAACCCCATATTTGATCAATAGAAAAGTTTTACTCAGCTTTTTAGTTTTTTTGATGTTTGTGTGCTTTGCTTTAATGTCCAATGTTTTTTTCAACTAAATGAAATCTAAGATTTGATAGCTAAGAAAAAGTCATTATTTAAATGAACTGTTGCTTAGGCCGTTTTTCCTTGAAATATGTCGCATAAAAAGGAAGAAGATCGGAGCTTATGAAATTTTTAGATAGTATTGTATTTTTTTTTAGTCACAAACCGATGCCATACTCGGCTGGGTTGATAAGACAAATGGTCGGGCTTTCGTGATGGACACCTGGATCAGTGGTTACAACGCACCGTTACTGGATCCATCGCAAGACGTATATAATATCAGCGGCCGCATGGAGAATGGCGTAACCACCCTCCAATTCTCAAGAAAACGTGTAACAAAAGACATCAAGGATTTCTCGTTTACGAATGATCACTGTTTGTATATGATGTTCCCGGTGAAGGGAGGCATATTTAATCCGATTAATAAGAAGATTCGAAAACATGACGTGAAACCAGTCGTTTCTTCAGACAGAATATGTATCAAGTCTTGCGGTCAGGAAGGTAAATACTGATTTTTGTTGTTTGCTAAAGTTGTCCGATACAACTATTGACGCACCATATAATTTTTAAAAAGACATTAATTTAATATATTATTTTAATTATATTAGAAAATTTTTCTTGTCCAATTGTTATTAAAATGTAATTATTACTTAATCTTTTTCGTTAAAATATCATTTCTTATGATTATTAATGTATATGATTAATTTATTATGTTTCTGTAAAATATATCTCCGATTATATATATTAAGAAAAATCATTCAACTGTTCACTTAGAAATTGAAGATCAAAGTACGTATCCACCACCAAGGTTCTATTATGATGTTGAAGTCAAGCTCGTCAGCTTGGGTGACGGATTTGTGATTCCCGAATCCGATAGTCCCGATTTTGAATTAATCTCGAACAAGATATCGGAGAACTTTGAACCGGTCTTCAAGATGCTTCCGGATTACTATCACGTTCATCTCAACGAGTTACGAAAGTAAGACAGCAAAAAGGAAGAAGTAGCAAGAAGCAAGTTTGATAAGTACTACTCTCTTTTGTTCTTCTTGCAGAGATAACGAACGGGGAGTGATTGCGCGCATGAACCTGATCATCGACAGGACCGAGATTAAGGGTAGATCGTTAAAACCTGCAGACACCGATTTAGAAGCGGAAAAAGCATTGCGCGAGGCAGTCGTAAAAGGTCAAGTCGGTATATTCGGCGTCGATCCGCAGTACTTAGTAGTAAGAACACCCAGAGGTAAGCATTGAGATTCTAAAGCTCAGTTTCATAATTTACAGTTAACTTTTAATCAAAGTTTAACTTATCCCAAGTAGCACAGGGCCTAAAGCGCTAATTAAAAAAGTGCTTATACTTTTTAGTGTTTTTTTTTAACGCTGGGATTCCTTATCTCTAGAATTGGAAAGAAATGAGAAATAAGTTGAACCTCAATTAAGAATTAATTGTGAACTAATCCTAAATATCATATAATTCTAACAAAAAACTCTCTTCTCCTTCGATAAATTTTCTATCCTAGACTGAGATCCGAAATTAGATAATTTCTCACCTTTTTTGAAGAAATAAAGATTTTTCTAGACATCACAGTAATTGTCTTAAAATTTCAAGAATTATATGATTCAATTATATAGCTTCAAATAACATTTTTTAAGTGCTAATATTACGAAGAAATGGAAATTTGTTCACATTATTTAAGATATTCATCCCCATTGATCTATCTACTTCACAAAATAAAAATATGTGTTATACTTATTTTCAGTAAACGACATACAGACGGAAGATGAAAATGATCGGCCGCCTTCCGCGACAGACTTATTTCTGGGTGCAACGAAGTTTTATATCGTCGTCGGTTGTGTAGCAGCGTTGCTAGCTCTCGCTCTGCTCCAAGCCAGTTGTACTATTTACAGGAGCTCAAGGAAACGAGCAACTAAAGTATGTTTTGTGCGTTAGAAACTTTCAGTTCTTTTTCACGTATTTGTTTTCTCTCCACTTTTTCTCGCATTCTCAGATCTTCCCCCTAAGTGTTGTGTTCTGTTTCTTTTCTAACGAAATCTTGTGGTGATCCCTAACGTGTTCCAAGAAAGATGTATAACGCTTTCAGAATTCTATCCCGAAGAAAAATAGCCTTTAGCATCATTTTGATGGAACTCTCTCTTGCACTTATTGTAGTAGTATTAACTAAATAACTGTAATATCGTAACAAATCTAATTAAAATAACTCAATGCTAAAAAAATTCTAATTGTAGAATTGTAAAAGAAAAAGTATATTTAGAGGACAGACTTCTTCTCTTACTTTGCGAAAGCAGCCTGAAAGATCAGATTGTCGTTCGCGTACGTCTTCTTGGGACATTCTGTAGTAAAAATTACGCTTTCATCCCCTAATGAACCCGACATCTTTTGCTTCGCTTGTGTTGCATGACTCGCGCTTCCCGCGACCAAAAAAGAGGGTGTACACGCTGCCTCTGGCTTCTTCCGATGCGCCCAACCCGATTCATCGTACGAACGCGACACGATATCATCGACAACAAAACGGCGATCATCATCATCATCACAACAACAACAATACCAACCATCACCATCATCATCATCATCAACATCAGTTTCGGCATCACTACGCTTCGTCTGAATTGCATCGAGCTAATCCCAGCTGGTAGAGCTTCTCGTCAAGTAATCGGTGCGCAATGTCACACTCATCCCTTTCGCTCTAACCCAGTATTTGACTAACTCGCTATTATTTGGTTCTTCCTAACTCTTTATAATCGCACATTTTTGCGCCTCTATGACCGCAATCAAACTTTTTCCGTTGGATTTTTTTCCACTAATATAGGGTGATTAAATTAACTTGGATATTTTTTAAATATATGCGTCGACAGATCATCGTGGACAAATATTTTTTTGTCAATTGAAGAAATATGAAATACATAAGATTATAATTTCTAAAGAAATGGCGAGGGTATGATTAAAAAAATAAGTTTTGATAAAATTATCTACACACACATATTTCATATTCTAAGCACATCTTTTTGCGCAGGAACGTTTGATTGCCAGTAATGCCTGGAAGGATTACGCTTCCGGTGCGAACACAAACTTCGCGTTTGAGGCGTTCGAAACGGAAGAGAAAGCGCCGCCGCCTCCGATTTCTAGTCTGCCGAGAACTAGGGAGATGACCAGCAACGGCATGACTGGCATGAATAGTACCGACGCAGTCGAAGGACCCAACAGGATGGTCGGACCCAGGGCGACTTACAGTCTTCCACGCGCGCCCGGTGCCAGACACTCGGTGCCTATCCAGCATGGTTATTATACACAAGATCGCAGGGATCATTACGGACGACCCAAGAGCATGCAGCATAATCCAGGCATAGCAACCCAAGCGAATCAACCAGACTTCTACTTCATGCCCAGTCAGCGAAAATACAGCGGCGAGGTTGTGCGCGTTTATGTGGATTACAATAACCAGCCAAAGTAATCAAGAGAAAGTTTCAGATCAAAAATCGCGAGAAAACGATTTACTCGCTTCACCGAAGCGATCTGTACATATCCGAGTTGTAGTGACAGAGGTGCGAAAAAAGGACTGCGTAACCCCTGTGCGGTGCTATTTTATCTGTTTCTTTTTTCTTTTTCCCCGTGATTTCTCTCCCCCAAAGATCCATCTGAATCGAGTCGCTGGATTTAAGACACAGGGAGAGAAATTATCCCGTAGGAAGCATAGAAGTGACGCTTACGACCAAAGAAGATATCCATAGGGCCTGCGCCCTGTAATTCTGTATAGAGTGCATGAACTCTCGTCAAACTTTTGTGCTTTTGCGGTGGAGAAACCGTATAATTATATAAGTAAATTTCATGTAGTAGCCGAAAATCTGATAGTTCGAACTGTCCGAGGATCCCTGGGTCCAAAATAAAAAGAATCTTACGATTTAGCAGTAAGTATTCGAAAATTCAAGAAAGATCCAAGGGCCATATAGCTTAACATGAAGAAAATAAGACTTGAAAGACCCACGGATCAAGAATAAGAAACAGGATTCAATAATCCTGAAATTCGAAAATTCAAAGACCGATAAAAAAACATGTACCTAAGTTTATCTCGCTCGATGCGTCTATTTTTTCGATCGCGTAATAGAATACCGACACGCTCAATGGGATGCATTTACATCACTTTAAAGAGCAAGCGAAAACGCGCGTTTGAGCAATAAAACATTTGTATTTTTAAACAAAAAATGACGCGTCCTAAATTTCTTTAATAGATTACCTTCTTTAAAATCCTATTTCCTATATTGTTTTACTTATATAGTTGGTTTATCAGTTTTCAGAGAAGCGGTCATAACGATAAAAATAAACAAGCAAAATATCTGTGAAACGGTTGCTAATAATCGTTATGGAATAAAAATTGTAATGCCTGTGACAATGACGACATTGTGGATATAGAGAATCGTGTTGGTACGGATTATAAATTATTACAATAGAATGATAAAATTAACGATATAATACTTGTAATAATTATAATAACGATAGATGTAGCAGCAGTAGTAACGATGGCAATAATATTACAGTATTAATTACATTAATGTCATTAACAACGGCGTCGCGTGCAGCCAGACTTCCGGGATACCTTTACGAGCGATGGAATATAAGGCGACGCCAAAGATAAACTTTCTCTCCTCTTTCGTTTTCTTTTCTTCTCTCTCTCTCTCTCTCTCTCTCTCTCTCTCTCTCTCTCTCTCTCTCTCTCTCTCTCTCTTGCGATCTCTAAAAGTATGCGAGCATATATCCGGAAGTCAATTGTGGCACGTACTGCCCGCGTTCCTAATATTACATAACTAGCATCGAGCACATATGTTCGGCTCTACCATAAAGTTTTTTCTTCGGTCACACGTGCGAAGTTTGAGAAACGAGTTCTACGCAAATCTAATATGTGGCATACCCACGAATGCGAATGCAAACACCGCCCAGGATAATAGAGCGATGTATGTGACGAGTAAACGCGTGACTGAATGCTTGTTAGAATGCACCTCGAAGCGTTTTGTAAGAAATTATAATCGCGCGTGTATTCGCTCGGTGGGTATGCCATTTTATTTCTGTATTTTATCTCTGCTTTTTTTTCAATCTATCGGTCTGTTTACTTGTTAGCTTGTCATTCATTATTTCT